CCACTAGAGCACGCAGATGTAGCTCATCAGATTCGGGGATCTAGAATTCTGAACCACTGAGATGCCTGAGAAAAAAATAAATTAATGTAACTCATGAATGAAAGAGAACTCTAATGGTGCACGAGATACTAACGTAACAATCCAATGAAAGAGAATTCTAAAGGTGTGCGAGATACAAACTCAACAATCCAGAGTGGGAGAATTCTAAAGGTGTGCGAGATACTAATGTAACAATACAATGAAAGAGAATTCTAAAGGTGCGCGAGATACAAACTCAACAATCCAGAGTGGGAGAATTCTAAAGGTATGCGAGATAAAAAGAACCAGACCAAAGAAAGAGAATCCTAAAAGTGTGCGAGGCACTAACGTAATAATCGAATGAAAGCGGAGGATGCTAACAAAACAATCCAAAGAAAGAGTATCCTAAAGGGGTGCGAGGTACTGATGCAACAATCCAATGAAAGAGGATCCTAAAAATTTGCGAAATGATAATGTATCAATCCAACGAAAGAGAATCCTAAAGGTGCGCGAGATATTAACCTAAGAGTCCAATAAAAGATAATTCCAAATTATATGCAAGAGTTATTCACGTAACAATCGAATGAAAGTCAAACAAAAATACGAATGTAACGTTCGAATGAAGGGCTATCCATCCTAAAGGTGAGCGGGATACTAACGTAACAATTCGATGAAAGCAAATCTTAAAAGCGTGCGAGACACTAACGTAGCAATCTTAAAAAAGACTCCTTGAGGTCCAAGTAATAGTAGCGCATTAATTGGATGAAAGAGAATCCTACAATAACGCGAGAGTTTTATGACAATATTCAATGTATTGGTATACAAAGAGTACAAGATACGCAACAATCCAATTAAAGCGAATCCTAAAGGTGCTCGAGATAATAACGTAGCAATCCAGTGAAAGCTAATCTTAAAAGTGTGCGAGATACTAAGCTAAAATAACAATCCAATGAAAGGGAATCCTAAAAGTGCCCGAGACACTAACGTAACAATCGAATGTAAGTCCATCCTAAAACACGCGAGATAGTGATGTAACAATTCAGTGTAAGAGAATCCTATAGGTGCTCGACATACTAACGTAACAATCCAATGAAACAGAATCCTAAAGGTGCGCGGGATACTAATGTAACAATTCAATGAAAGCGAATCTTAAAAGAGTGCGATCGAGGTACTAACGTAGCCATCTTAAAAAGAGACGCCTTGAGGTGTACGTGATATTAGCGCACTAATCCGATAAAAGAGAATCCTTAAAGATATGCCAGATACTAGCGCTTCAATCCAATGAAAGAGAATTCTAAAATTGCGCGAGATTTTTATGCAAATATTCAATGTATCAGTATACAAAAGGAGTACAAGATACTAACACAACAACCCAAAGAAAGAGAATCCTGAAAGTTGGCGAGAGAATAACGTAACAATCCAATCAAAGCTAAGCTTAAAAGTGAGCGAGAGATACCTAACAATCCAATGAAAGGATATACTGAAAGTGTGCGAGATGCTAACGTAACAATTCAATGGAAGAAAATCCTAAAGGTACGCGAGATACTAACGTAACAATCCAGTGAAACAGAATCCGGAAGGTGCTCGAGATTCTAACGTAATCATCCAATGAAAGAAAATCCTATAGGTGCTCGAGATGCTAACATAACAATTGGAAAGATTTCCATATAACCCCGTACATTTAATATTACGCATTCCATTTCATAAAGACTGAATATAAGGTTTCTTTGTAACACTCTATGCATAATTAATGTATGGGGTTATATGGAAATCTTGCCTAACAATTCAATGAAAGAGAATTCCGTCTAAAGATGACGAGATACTAACACAAACGCAGTGCACAATCATATGTAATGCAACATTCATTTCGAAAAGCGCTTTATGTATAAGATAGCCAAATGACTGACCATGTTAGAGGCTATCATGTATTTCTTTCCTCCCTTTACATTCTTGATTTCGAGACGTTTTCGTTCTATTCTTCGCGTTCTCCTAAGGAGAGGAAAAGAGAAATACATTGTTGACAGCTGCATATTTTTCTTGAGGTACATGTAATTAGTTTTTGTTACAAGAACATTGAAACTGAACTAGAGCCGCTACATCTTTTATTGAAAACGTCGTAGTCCTTTGTCGAACGGAGACCCAAGACAAATTCTTTTTGTACTAGGGGGGTAGAGATGGTGCAGTGGCGAGCGCGCTCGCTCCTCCCCTCCTGGGGTCATATGTGGGTTGAGTTTGATGTTGGTCCTCGTCCTTGCCCCAAACGTTTTTCTTCGGGTCTCCAAGTTTTCCTCCCTCGGCAAAAACCAACATTTCAAATTCCAATTCGACCTGGAAGCAGTAAACAAGAATAGCTACCAAATAGCCTGGAGAGCAGGCGTTCTAGTGGAGTTTGGGCATGCATTTGGGCGAAAGTTAGACGGCGCGAAAAATAGAGCGAGGCGAAAAATTAGGAGGTAGGGGGAGGGGGAGAGGACAGAAAGGAACGCCTGCCAGCAGTACTTGAAAATTCGAAAAACCCGTTCCTTTCTCCCCTCTTCCCCTCCCCTACCTCCTAATTTTTCGCCTCGCTCTATTTTTCGCGCGGCCTAACTTTCGCCCAAACTCCACTAGAAAGCCTGCTCTGCAGGCTATGGCCAAATTCCTATTTATTTATTATTTTATTATTCACTGGAATGGAGCACATTTCGATCGAATGAAAACGATAACGTCAAAACGTATAACTGTAAATCTACTAATGCTGCGATCTGATTGGTTATGCTACTCGCTATCTATACTTCATTATGCATTCAATTCTTGGACAAAGGAAAGCAGAGGCAAAAAAACAGATTTCCTTTGGGTCTACGGCTTTGTTTTTTTATTGGTATGGGGTTGTACGGAAATATTTCCCAACTACATAAATAGGAAAATATCATTTGAAAATAAGTATACCAATGAGGATAGATCAATGATTGAAAAAGAGATCGATACTCTAACAATATCAAAAGAATCAACCGCTGTCGCTATAGAAGCCACGTGGCTCTATGACAACTGTCATGGCGCCTGCTTCGAGGGATTTCTTTCACAGCTTAACGAATACCATTCCTTTCTACCATTAAATCTTCAAATAAAATTTCTAGGATAACAAAGGGAAACTCGAACTCTGTCTTCCTATAAAAATAGGATTATGTTCAGGCTATTTACCGTGCGGAAAGACGTGACAATTTGACATTCATCAATCTTTGGCATCGAATTTGAACTCCTCGCAACTTCGAAGAAGCAGACAAAGGCTGATTCATATAAGGAGCCATATCCAAAGCAATTTGGCTTGAAACAAAGTGTTTGCTGACCCAGAGTACGCGATTAAGACGCTAAAAGTTCTTGTAGTTCGTAAGCTCTTTCCACGTGCAAGAGTTATCGTAAAAACGAATGTTAATGTTGAAATAAATATTTGTAATTCAAATAAGTTTTTACCGAAAAAGTAGGACCAAAAATCACTTCGGTCATTTTCTCTCAATTGTAAAACGAAATGAGACAACACTGTGGACTAATTTTAAACTTGGTAAAGTTTAGTAAATAGGGAGCAAATATTGTTGTACTGTTTAGAAATACTAATTCAGACTCAGGCGAACTCAGACTACAGGGCGGCTTTTTTTCCTTCGTTTCCCATGGCATTTGAAGCGAGCGGGGTTTTACTGCACCGTGCATGCTGGGGCAGTGGGGTCCTGACCCTTGTCGATGTAGGTTGCAGACGAAGGAACAGCACGGCTGTATTCTAGCATTTTCCGACCGGATGGAGGGACGTTTATTTTTTTTCTGATGTCGATAGTAATAATTATCATTACGTCCTGGGGAGTTGTTTTAAGAAACTTGTATGAAAAAGTTTTCCTAACCCTTCTTTTTCTTACATCGTTCCCGAGGTTCTCTCCTGTTCTTGAAGCGGGAGAAAGAAATAAGTTGGGGCAAGGGTTGAGCCATTTTTAGACAAAGGAAAAACCACCAACAAAGGTGGTTAAATAGAACCATGAACCTGTTCTCTATACATTAGCACAGGTGATGACAAGGAGAATTTGTTTGAAAATTAGGGGATTATTTAGTTATCATTTCCTTTAGGGGTGATGCTCTAAGGAGAAATTATCTGCTGGTCACTCTCAGGATCAGGCATCAAACAAGCCAGATGACCCATCCTGCCAAAGCTCGCCTGTGCTTCTATGGCAGTAAGCCACAAGAAGTTAAGATCGCTGTGTGGATTAGAATTTAAGGAAGAATGATTCTCTTGTCCTGTTCAGCAAGTATAGTAGAACAAATATTTATAAATATAGCCTTTTTATCTGTATTATTAATGAATGGAATAGTCTACCTAATAATATAAAGGATTCTGTCAGTATTTCTAGCCTTAATCATAAAGTCACTTCATTTTTGGGTGGTAATACTTAGAATTTCAGAGTTAATTTATATTAAATTTTATACTCTGATAATTGTCTCTTAATATTGTAGATACATTTTGTTAGCTTACTGGGGAGCATCCCTCGTATGGTGTCTAGTACGCTTTTGGAAGCTGCCTCTCCATTATCATCATTATTTATTAATTTAGGTTTGAAGAAACTGTAATAAATAAAATTATTGCAAGGAGGTGATCATTTCCTTTATTTTCGTTAAGTGAAATGTGTCATTCAGGGGTGAAAATGTAAGAAGAAACGAAAAGCTAATCACTTTTTGGCGGTCTAGGCGCTATCCTGGCCATCTCCACCCAAAGTCCAATAAACTAAACAGAAGGCTCCCCCAAACCCCTCCCCTCCTTATAAACCACAACAACCGAAACAAGTTTTGTACATGATTAGAAAATTTAATTGCATAGCATATTAATCACTGTTCATTCCACCTCAGGTCAATCATCTCAATACAGAGCTAGGCAATAGAGGTTTTGCACAGCAGCCATGTTGGATGGCAGGAACAATAGATCAGTTTACCCATGGGAAAAAATTTTCTTTCTTATGCAAAATATTTTCATTGTTCCTGCCCTCCAACATGGCTGCTGTGCAAAACCTCTATACTACCTTGTGAGACTAAAAAAAAGCTAAAATGAATTCACTGCAACAGCCCTCAGTGACATAGCAATCTATACAAATACAATAATTCAAAGCGCAAGGGAAAAAAAAACCTAGTTATTATTATACATTTGTGTGTGAGGAAAGTAGAGAAAAATGGAAAATAATGAAAGTAATGTGAAAGTCAGCTTCTGTGATCAAAATATAAATAAATTCATGAATTGAAATAGTAATGGAATAGACTGACAATGATACGATATGGAAACCAGCTTAAACATGTTTTGTTTATCAACACAATCACTGGTTTATCAGAGTACTAGTTCATCAGGAATTATTTACTTAACCCTTTAACTTCCACAACTGATCAACAGGTAACTTCTCTATAACGAATCCATACATTATCCAGCAAAAAGATATTGAGAATACTCAAACTCATCAGGTAGAAGTTGTTATCTTGATCTTACACCAAATTCTCATAACTAATCTACAAGGAAATGTGTAGCAGCTAGAGGGGAGAATCGACAGACAGATCCCTAGAGTTAAAGTGCTCTACTGGATATTCAGTATACACAAGGGGTTTATCACAAAAAGAATCAGGTTGCAAATAAGAAACAGTTTATGATGAAAAAGAAAAAAAAAACTGCCATTCACATCTAATAGCTGTAAGAAATAAAAGGAAAGGTGCCCTTTTAAGAAATCTGTGCGAACTGAATTTCCAGTTCTTAGAAGAGCAACAACGACATTTCTTTATCTGAAGCCAGAAAAAGTGATGTTTGCAAAATCCTTTGTACTTTGTTGGTTCAAATGAAGTGTATTAAAAAAAAAAAAGCATTGAAAAAAATTATCATATTTTGCAAATATGCCTTACATTACAAACTGTGCATATAAAATAATACATCTTGAATATGTCTTTAGTTAGCAAAGGAAAGAAAACTACACAAAACATTTGTCAGCCCCAACTTTCTAAATATTCCAGTTTAGACTGGAAATTCAAATGACAAAAAGATACACCAAGGACTTAAAACCAAGGTATCAATGTTGCTGTTGCTGTTTTCTTTTACAAAGCATCACTCAGACATCTACCAACCCTTATGTTAGATTTCAGGAAAAACAAAAAGAACAACTGAAATGGCTCTAAAGCAAATGGAAAGCTTATGTGACTATTAACTACCACAACATGTGACACTCTAGGTGGCAGCTGATTTTTGCCTTTGGACAACAGTTTCTCTGGACTTATTCATACCCCAACCTATATCGAGAACTGTATTACAGGTAAACAGTGCGATGAAGTCCACAGACAAACCAAGGGAACCACAGCTGTCTAAAATAAAAAGTTCACAACCTATTGTGCAAGGTCGTAATACAAGTCAGCAACCTGTATTCTTACAAGTCTGTGTCATACCATGTACCACCGCGAGGGGGTGGCCCTCCGGGGTGAGCAAGAGGTTGCATGGATGGATCAGCATGGTGGAAATCATACCCAGGATCATGAGAATAGTCCATAGGCTGGTTGTAATCAAACCCATCGTGGGGGTAACCATACCCTCCGGGTGGCATGTAGTGACTTGGGTCTGGGAAGTCTCCATCCATTGGCTAAAATCAACAGAAAGAGTGATGAAAATCTGTTATCAACACACTGGGCTAAAAACTAAACTCTATCTGCAACATCTGACACCTGTTGTTCAAAGGGTAGGTAACACTATCCACTAGATAATTCTCTATCTGGGGAATGATGCTGTACATTTTGCAAACATTTCTCCACTGGGGAATAGCATTATCCACACTTTGAACAACTGGACTCTGTTGGACAGCAAAATTTGCTAGTAACCCCACAAGGTTTTGCTGTCAACTTTGATCAACAGATCATAAACAGCAAAACCTTAGAAAGATGAAAAGGACCAATTATTATATTCTGCACTAGACACAGCTACTTATACAGCAGCATCACACCTACTGGGTAGCATGAAAAATTTGCAGGAGTTTTCTTTAGCAGGTTTGTGACTTTTACGTTTTACACTTCATTTCATTTGACCAAAATTATGAGATTTTTCAGCATTCGCCTTAAAAATCTTAACCCTTTAGCTTCTAAAATCTCAGTAGTAATTTTCCTTACTGTCTGCCACACAAATCCAAAGAATATCGTAGTGGATTAAGTAATAACCCCAAATTGACATTTTCCTTTATTCTCCTCAATTGTCTGCTTGATATTGAACTGATACTGTAAGAAGTTCTGATAGTTAAAAAGAGTTAAAAAGGTCAGACAAACATATACAGAACAAAGATGGTGGCTTCTCACCTCAGGCCAGGGTGCATCGTCCCGGAAAAGAGAACTTGTCAACTCAACAGATAATCTCTTCTTGTAATCTTGTGACTTATCTTCAGACATTCGGAAGAGTACAGCAGCAGCATAAGCAGCAATGCCCTCATTTCTTGAGTGCAACAGGTCTGTTAAGGGTGCTGTTGCATTTTCAGCTTCGATAGCTTCTGCACCTTCCTTGTCTTGTGCAAGTTCACAGAGTACTCCTGCTGCAACGCGCTGAATGTTTTCAATTGGGCAATAGAGGAGCTGAAGGGAAAAGGTAAGGATGTTATGATGGAACTAATACTGTGGCTCAGTGGTAGAGCATTGAAGAACAGAATCCGAAGGTCTGAGGTTTAATTCCTCATGGGGACTCAGAATTTTTTCTTTGTTTCATGCCGAATGACAAAAAAACGAATGTATAATTGTTTGCTTTGTGATGTAGAATCAAGTATCCATTGTAGAGTCTAGCTACCAAATGAAGATCACAAGCAATGTTTTAAAGATATTCAAGACTTTGTCCAGTAAGTAAGATGGCCTGTAAGTGCCATTCCACTCAGATTTATAGCACAAATTGTGTGGCCTACCAATCCAAGTGGGAAATAGGAGGTTCAATAACTTGCAGTGCGGAGCAAGAAAATGAGGTGAGGGGGGAGAATTTACATTCAAACAAACTGTGGGCTAAATTGGCCAATTATAGCAAAAGTACTAACTGAGAGATATACAAGGTAATAAGTATCATTATGACTGGCTACCTGTACAAAGAGAGGAATGCAGTTGAGACTTCTTATACCAGCCCTGTTGTGCGCCTCCCTGGCCAAAATATGCAGTGCACCGACACAGCCATCAACTATGTCTTCCATTCTTACACCATCAATTACCACACTCTGTCCAGGTCTCCTCTGCATATCCTGGTGGGCTCTCATCATCAGTTGAACAAGCTGAGGCAGACCTCCATGCTCACGGATTGGCGTGTGATTAAGGGGGCATAATGCCAGATTACGCATGAGACCTACAATTGCCTTAATGAGTGGCCAGCGAGAGGGTGGATAAAGAAGTTTTACCAAGACTGGCAGGCCAAAGTGAACACGCACTGCATTCTGGGCTTTCTCGGCATCTTCATGTCGACTTGTCAGGTGGCGTAATGCACAGCACTGTAAAAGAAAAAAGCAAGGGTTCATGGCTATGCCTAAATTTTTTAAGGCTTTCTTTGGACTATCTCCTTAGTTGTTTGCATGACTGGGATTATTCTTCTTCTGTCAAACTCTTCACTCCAGAGTCTTAATGCAGGGGGGTCATTAACCTTTTCATAAGTGGTTGTCAACAGTATAAAAAAACAAGACTGTAGGCAAGAAATTAGGCTGCCAGCTGAAATTTCACGCAAAGCGCTCAAAGGTGGGGAACAATTGTTACCTCAGAAGTGCCCATTGTGCCTTACCAAGCCTTTGCTGGAAACAAATTTATATGGGGATTGCCACCTTTTTCATCTGGCAAATTTCACCACCAAACGGCACCTAGCAACAACCGAGAAAAAGCAGCTGTGCCCAACCACAAGAACCTTACAGGCTAAACAGGTGGTAGTGAGAGATCTAAGCATGACAATTCAGCATGACATCTTACCGCTGGCTCAGTGATTTCCTCCCTGTCTCCCGCCTGCATGCATGTCCTCACCAATGCCTCAATGCCACCAAACCTGTAAACAAGTTGTTTGTTGTTGGGATTGTTGCATGTCAAGTTTGACAAGACACCTGCTGCACATGTCACGACTTGAATATCGTTGGATGACAGCAGCTGTACCAACATCTGCAGCAAGTTATCAAGACCATCCTCCTTGGTTGCCGCATCTGACAGATTGCGCAGAGTCCAGAGGCAGTTCTGAACAAGTCTGTTGCTCTGGTGACCAAGATGCATAGCGAGTGCCTGCATACCTCCAGCCTGTGGACAAATTAGCCAGCCATGTTTACAGATGGTTTGTTTAATCTTAACACAAAGGATTCTGAATCAATTGTCCCTAAAGACTGTCATACATTTCTCATAATGTTAGCTCTGATAATCGTGTGTAAAATCTAACACTATACTCTTGTTCAGATTTTTCTTTCTCCTTGACACCTAATTTTTGTAATTTTCTCAAACTGAAATAGTTTTGAATTCCCACTCCCAAAAAACACTCAATGCTACAACAACGTCAGGGGGTTCTATAAATTTTTTCTAGAGCATCTGCCCATGGTAAAACAAGCAACTGTGTCCAGAAAGGGGCCATAAGGTGAGACTCAAACATAAGAGCCTGTGCACAAGCTACATATATAGCTGCTGCACTGCCAGTAACTAAAATTTCATGAAACCCCCAAATAAGTTCTTCTCACCCTTACACATACATCAATTCTCTGTATGGTCGTCTATGTATTTTGTAGAATTTGAGCTCTGAATTTCTTGGAAAAAAAAAATCTCCCTGTTGACATTATTTCCATTATTCTCTTAATTTTTCAGCTTGGTAATTTATTCCAAGGAGTGAAGGGACTGACAACATCGTCAAGCATTAACAATCACCTCTACAATAGCTTGTTTGTTGTCGGTGTCCACAGAGAGAACCTTCAGCACACGGCTGGTGGTAAAGAGCAGCTTCTCATACGTATAACTTCTCATGATGCGCACCAGTTCAGCAGGGCCTCCTGATGCTAGGATGATCAACTTGCTCTCTTTGTTACCATATGCCAGCACATGAAGGCAATCTGTGACAAAAATGAACATGTAGCATCCTTTTGGTAAGAGACATACAAATGCAAGAAAGGCTTACTTCCCACAATTTTGCTAAACAATGTCAAAAACTCAGTTTCAGTTGTTGTTTATTATCTAAAATGTACGAGATGACCAAGAGATCCTCAAAAATCTGACTTCCAAATAAGAATCTTCTAATCAGAAGGTCACGAGTTTGACTCATACTGAGAGCATTCCGATTTCTTTTTCTCCAAGTATGTTTGGAGATCTATTTTTTCAAGTATACCCATGTCATTCACTGAATAAAATCAAATTTGAAGAATCTTATTTAAAATAGTTTCAAACAAGCATTGTCATTTTCAATATTTGCAATAACTTTGGTGTTTTCTTTCTTACCAAACAAAGACTTTTTTTTTTTCCCCTCATGTTGACAATAATTTCCTTGTCTACAAATTCAAATTTGTACCTGTAACAATTGCCAAGAACTTGACATTAGAACGTCCAAGGAGGGCCACCATCTTCTGCAGACCTCCTGCCAGTCTGACAGCCATCTTTGCACCTTCTTGGTGGAGCAGAAGATTGTGCAGGGTGGTGATAGCATAGAAAACTACTGCTTCCACGGGGGACCCAAGCAACCTTACCAGAGCTGGGATGCCACCAGATTTAAAGATGGAGAGCAAGCCTTGTCTGGGGTACCAAAAAAAAAAATTGTTTTAACAATAATCATTACAGGTAAGGAGATCTTGAAGTTGCCTGGTAAAACAGTCAAATTTAGCATCCAAATCTAACTTTTATTTTGTATATGTAGTCTTCCATGCTTTCTTTGAGTTACCACTAGCAAACTTAAACTTAGAAGATGGTTCCCAAAAAATTGGAATTGTTTTGGTGTTACCACTGGTGACAACCCTTTCTTTGAATCAAAACTTTTTGGCTTCCTACATAGGTTGCTGAATTGAATCCTTTGACTGCCAAAATTGCTGGCACAATTTTTTCACAACCCATTACAGCATTCTCTGCTTCCCTCACACCTTGTCTTCTTTTTCACCTGACACAATCACCACCTCTTAGGTCACCAAAAATTATTACAGCTAAGAGCGCTGTACAAATATGCCCCTATAATGCAATTATTACTCACCTGTGATGAGACAAATTGTGCAAAGTTCCTGCAGCACATCGGATGGTTTCAGGATCATTAGAGTTGTTCAGCGCCTTCACAAGAGATGCCACCATTTGCGGTGAGTTCATAATGGCATGGCGACTTGCATCCTTCTTTGACAGTTGATGCACCATCATTGATGCTTGTCGGATCACCACCTTAAAGATTGTTGACATGTAGGTAAGTGAACAAGTACTCTTACAGGCTGAGTTTGCAAATCTGTACTGAGGTCACAGAACAAGTATTTTATGTGCTTTTGTGCTTTGGTCAAAAGTGTTCCAGAACTCAGTGATTCTGCCAAGAGCCTACTTTTGACATGTTTCACATTTTCTTTGTAACTGCTCACCTGATCTTCATCATTTAACAGCTTGTTGAGCTCAGGGATAGCACGTGTGGCCAGATCAGCATCATCCTATAAGATGAAAAAAATAATAATTAGTAACAAGCCTTGAAACAAAATACTGAACTGTACAAGTCTGATCTGTCATCTTTTCCACAACTAATATATGCCACCATATTGAAAGAGCACTGCTCTACCTGGTAGTTAATTAGATTGACAACAGCTTGCTTCAGCATGAGTGATGGTTCAGCCAAGCGCTGGACGGCAGTGTGAGCTGCTGAATCAAACTGTGTAGAAGGGATATGAGTTCCTTCCTCCAGTGTCTCGGGGAACATGGCTTGACGGATGCGTTGACTGTGTGATGGAAAACAATGCAAATAAGACTACCATGTATCACAGATGAAATTAAATAGGAAAACTATTTAATCAATACAACTGTACAATGCTGCAAACCTTGTTACAAACATTTTAGTTTGTAAGTTCCCTGTATGTGTTGGCCAAATATCACAATAATTCCATTTCATGTTTGTACTTTGTAAACTCTTTTTCTTTAGTCCCATTCATTTTTATGTCCCAGAGTTGTAGCTGAGAAATTCAGCTGTGGTTCAGATTTAAAGTGAGGTGGCTCAAAGATAGCAATCAATATCAAATGATTGAAAGTGCATGATCTCAGAAGAGCCAGCTGTGCTTTACTGAGTGATTGCGAGTTAAAAATGCAGCTGGCGACCAATGCCACCGATTAAAATACAAATTTGCTTCATAATGACACCAATTTGCACAACAGAGCCATAGCACTTCTTCGATATGGTCATGTAATTTTGTTACTTTTTAACCAATATACATTGCACCTCAGCGAGTGATTTCACTCACCTCCTGGTTGAGACAAATTGTTGATTCATGGCATGCATCTCCTGCTCTGAAAATCCAGGCTGCTCCCACTCAAATGCCATGTGTGTTTTCATGTAGTCGTCATCATCATCACCCTTGATTGAATGCGCCGTAGTTGTAGCACCTGACATGATGCCAGAATCGTGATACTGTTGATGCCACATTGCAGTCTGTTCATCTTTGCTCATTTCGCCATGAGGTAATCCAATTCTGCTGGTCTCCATGGTGAAAACTGTATCAAGAAAGTAAAAAACAAAGTTAATACTGGCAATTCTATCCAGTGTTCTCCTTTACAGCCACAAAAAGTTAAAGTTACTACTTATAGTACATCTTATTAACCCTTTAACCACTAACAGCGCATAACACCTCATTTCTTCTTACAACATCATCCCTGAATCACACACAAAGGTCATGAGAGTAAGGAAAGCGATCAATAACTAAAGAGGCTCTTGATTGTTAAACAAATTCTCCTTGTCAGCACATTAGGAAATGTATAGAGAAAAGTATAGAGAATATGCAGAATTAGTATACACACACTCGGTGATCTTGGCGTTTCAAGCAATCTGATTGGTTCACTATCTCAGGCTAATCAACAATGTACACCTCTGAGTGAGTGGATACTGTGAAAAACAAAATAGCGGGTGTAAATTCGCATTTCGCTAAAGTTTCGGAAGCAGAAATTGCCTTTAAATGGCTTCCTTTTCATTTTGTCTTGATCACTTCGTGTGTATATACTAAAACTATTATTCTTTTCAATCTTGGTGAATAGTGGCTTTTGGGAATATTTACCGAGCCGCAAAGCAGCTCGGTAAATATTTAGCCACTATTCACCTCGATTTCAAAGAATAATTGTTAATGATTTTAGGGTGTGAAGGGTCAACACCTAAAATCAGTTAGAATTCTTGAAAATTCAACAAGTAATTGGATTGCTCCTGTAACACTTCAAATTTATTTCACCTCTCACAGCTAAAATATTGAAAAGCATGGCATACCCAGATGATTCAATAAATCAATAAAGAACTCGGAATTCAGCAGAGGCAATTCCAAGAGTAGCTCTTTGTATGCTGTTTTCCAGGTTGAAATTAGAACTAGGATGTTGGTTTGTGTGGAGCAAGATAAACCTGAACCAGTAAGAAAGAAACTTTCGAACAATGGAGAGAAGCTTGAACTTGAGTAATTGATGCAAGGTTTTTGAATTTGAGCATTTGCCTGTTACTGCAGCATTCCCATTCTAGTGATTTCTTTTTGCATTCCTAATTACATTTTTGTGTTTTTGCACGCACATTTTCTAATTGTTTTTCATATTCTTTCACTCACAATTATTTATGTTTCCTTTGGTTTTTCGTATAATTTTGTTTTGTTTAAATTCATTTTGTATAAGCTTCTCGGTAGATTAACATCGATTCCTTCATTATGATCAGCTCCTAGTTTTTTCCTTTTTTTGCGTGCACAAATCACACAACCTTTCAACCACGATAAAAGTGCGCGTTGGAACCTGACTTGTTGGCAGTTACATTGCCCTTTGTCATTCACTCTTACTGAGGGCTAATGCTTGAAATATCAGCTCTAGAAACAGTTTACAGTGGCCAATTTACATTATCAAATCAGTTAATGAAACCAAATTATCTTGTAATAATAGCCCCACTGATGCAGCACCGTGGTTTCTCACGAAACTTACCCCATTTATTTATTTGACAATATTGTGTTCACTGAAACACTAGACTGACAATTGAACAAAACCCACACCAAGTGATCGCTACAGAACCAAAACATATTGTCACACGAGGCACCTTACAGCCTTGTTACATAAAATGAAAGCTCTGTTTTCTTTTCTGAGTACAGGTAACTAATCCGTCACAATAATGCCCCCTTACGTGAAATAAGGAAATTGAAGTAATATAAACTAGTCCATACAACTGTTAAAATAATATTAAAAACAACCATCAAATGCATGATACTTAGATAGCTTATGCACAGAAACTACTCTCAAATACTTATTTTTATCAAAAAAATAAATGTTACTTAAATATAAAACAAACAAGTATAGACAATAACATGCTCAACAAACTTTGATGAATGTAAACCAAGCTCCAAGTTAGATCATTTGGTTGGCATCAACTGAGTTCATAATAATAAATTTAAGCCTGTGGAAAGAGTTTTTGCGAAGCTGACATTTCAAGCGTTAGCCCTTTGTTAAAGTGAAAGCTCAAGTTACTCTTTTAAACAGGACCTTGTGTGAAATCCTTTGACATTTACCTGTGCACACCACTTGGGAACAAGGACAAAGCTTTCTATGTTTTCGCAAAAAAGAACGAACAAACAAACTCCTTTGAAGAAATGCTGTATGTTATAGGTGACAACTGAAAAGGCAAGTTTTCAGCTACAACTGTATGTTACTCCCACTTTTAAGGACAGCCTAATGTTGTAGTTCAGAACTGTGAATCTAAGTTTCCAGCTATTTAGGGGTTTCCAACAAATTATTTTTGTTCGAACCCTCAATGCCAGCTAGAAGTCAACATGTTTTGAACAGCTTACTCTGCACAAAACTGAATTTTCAGAAACATCACTTACTATCTTATATTATTATAATGAGTAAAATAAGACAACTGTTAACAAGAATTTAGTAGGATATTGTCTTTGTTTCTTAAGAGGTTTTGATATTTCTTTGGTCATCACGGTTTAATTATAGAAAAAAATGTGTTCGAATTTTCTAGACTGATTGTAAAAAAGAAAGACCTTAGATTGCTGTTATATCTAACAAAAGGTACAATACACCAACAAAAGGTACGATACATTAACTGTTAAATTTTTGCAAAACATTACATTGCAAAGTACACATTAGTAGAAATCTTCCCATTGAAAAGAAATTGAAAATTGTTTGATAAATAGAAGGTTCTGTTGATATGTAGTCACAAATGACCTTGAGCACTAGTCTGTTGAGCACGATATAAGGCAAGGTGGAGTTTACGTCTAAAGTTATGTTTGATGTCTCCCGAACGTTTTAAGTGTTTATTTGCATAGTGAATCCCAGAAAAATCACTTGTAATGCCAAAGGAATTTCGAATTCATCCGCAATATCCTCTTATTGAATTTCAAATCAAACACAAACCTGTTCAAGTTTCAAAACGGTTTTTGTACGCCTACAAGTTACCCATTTGGCACAAAATGATAGTTACGAAAAGGATTTAATCCAGCGGGCCGTATTCACATCGGCTGAATAGTTTCGTATACGACTCTTTTAACAAAATCTTGTTCCACTGCATAACCGCCCACGTTTTATGATAAAGTTCGTTCATTATCGCGGTAAACTCTCCACAAACTAATACAAAATGCTTACCTCTTCACCGCTTTGAGCCAAGCTATGCTGTATCAAACAAAATTCGTAATGTTGCAATTTCCTCGTAGCTGCAGAGACGAAACACAATATTTACAAAAACCAGAAGGATCACATCGTTACCTTTCCATTTTTAATAAGAGCAATATTGAGTGATTTTTAAGTTTTTTGATAAGAAACCTCCACAGAACGTGACTTCCGACGGAAAGAAGTGTTCATAACGAATGAAAGAAACTATTGTTAGCAAGGTAAACAACTAAAAGCTTGCGGATATAAAGAAATTTATTCCCTCGCTCAAAAAAGCGTGACAAATTTTTCTGGTTCTCGGTGTGGAAATATGCCGCTATAATCTCAAGCAAGCGGAAACCTCTGAAGCAACAGACAGCGTAAAGAAGAAAATACAATTACGAACGGAAAATAATACGGTGTGAACACCGTTCTTCTGTTGGATCTACGTTAACTTAACTCGCATTGCGATTTTTTTTACCACCTATATTGTTTATGTACAGTCTTGTTTAAAACTTTTCTTTCGCACTCTTACCAATCTTTCACTGGTTAGGGCATCTACTGAAATGAAATTCGCACACCTGCAAAAGACAAAAATTAGGAAAATGTTATAAAAGCTATTTTGTAAGCGTACAGGATGAACGTAATCGCTCAACTGAATATCTGCTGAAGAACGAGCGAACATCATATCAAGGTAGGCTGGAAAATCGTTAGCTTACAAAAAGAGGGATACAAAGGCAACCTTGATTAACTCGATTTCAATTAGAAAACTTCGGAAATTGGAGGGAAACGGAAAACCAAGTTTCCTTACCGCCGCCGATAAATCTCGCAAAATCTTAGCGCCTCACTAAGCCTTTCAGCTTGCTGTCTGCTTCGCTTTGACATGAACCTTGACTGCCATCGTTTAGAGGTGCAAACTACTCCAGAATTTACAGTTACAATAAAAATCCACACAATCGCGGAATAAGTTATCTCCCTAACGTTTAAGAGACTGCAATGGTAAATTAAAGAACAGAAAAGCGGCTATAATGACCGCCTAAAACAGCAAGCTTGCTGTCAAACATGGCAACTGGTCCAGAGAGACACGAATATCGAGCTGTACACATTTTCAAACAACTAAAAATCACTATACACTTCAAAATAATTTGAATCAAGCAAAAAGTACGGCGTTATCGCTCCATTCTCGGTTCCATCAATATGTTAGCAAATTCTTCGATGAAGAATTTTAAGTAGAACGTAGCGAAGGCCAACCAGCTAATACTAAATTTTTCAAGTAACAGAAATCAAAGCATATTTCCAAAGTTACAGGTTTTTAGGGGGTATAAAATAAATATAATGACATTTAACGAGCAAAGAAAACTTTCGATTCAATAATAGTCCGCAAAGATAAATGCTTTTAACACGAGGGGACCATTCGAATTGAACGCAGAGCGACTTGCGGCCTAACTGCAACCTATTGTTCAACGAGAAATCCGACTTGTTCCCAAAATGATCACTTTTAATCGAAAAACGAATTCACAAAATCTTCAACAATAGAACAAAGCTAAACTTTAACCAAAATTCAGCCGTCTGACAGGTAGTTTCACGCTCAAAAAGACCGAATAACCCCTAAATCTCCTTGCTGGTAAACAACCATTACAACAATAGCAGATTTCAATATTACTACCAACTATGCGCGCTTCTATTCAGTCGCAAACGGTTTTTAAAGTGATATATCAATCTTAAACACGTTAGCTCCGAACTATTTAGCTTACCTGTTAATGTAGCCGGGTAGAAGAGTTCCTACTTTCAGCTACAGAAGTCCTTTCTCGGTGGAACGCTCGATCAAAAACTCAGATGGCATCCAAAACAGTCCATCGAGGGATTGGCAATGAACCGAGCTAGCGTGGGCACCATTCGTTGACTAAATTACCTGTCAATCATTCCCACAAAAGTATGCAATCAACAGGAGAACGCGTTTTTATCGGGATAAATGGATCTTGTGGTTTCAGCGAAGTAAAAATTAAACTTTTGACACATAAAAACAAAAGATATCAAATAAATTCAGTTTTAAAAAAATTAGAAATTAGCATTTTCACAGCGTGTTAGAGCGTTACGCAACACCGAAAATTACAGAAAATGCGACAAACCGCTTAGCGATCGAGTGTTCTCATAACAGAAGAATTTGACAAGCATGCAATTTAAAACTCCCTAGGGACTCTTGAGGGCTCCTCCCAAATACTTAAACAATTCAGAAGAAACAATGAAGAGCAAAATGAACGCATTTTCTGTCTGCTAAGTTAGCTGGGCAGGATGGAAAATACTTTTGTTTCCATTCTTGATCATTTCTCTGGTATTAAATGAAATTTTCCATAATAATCGTTTGCAGGTATTATCAGTAGACGTGGGAAGGTTCGATGAAGGAAAACGACGGGGGTAGGGTGGGGGTGCGTGTGACTTTCCAAGATTGAGTTATCCGGTGGAGAAATGATAAGAAAAACCTTACAAAAGTACGATACAATTCTGCGTTCTAGTGGTGCTTCTAAATAGGTCATTCACTCTCAATTACTGAATTACTTTGTCCTTACAAGACAAAGAGGTCTACAAAATAACACAAGTGCGGGCTGAACATACAGTGCCCTGCCTCCCCCGGCTTCACAAATGAACTCAAAGCTTTCAGAGCGATATATTGTGACTGTTATCGGTCTCGCTGTTAAGCATCAATATGCAATGAAAGCCTTTTTCCCTTAAATACAAAACAACTTATATAAAAGCATTACGCGATAATTTCGTCAAATGTATTTTTGATTTGCTTGATTACACATCATCTAAATTAAAAGATTGAAAGTAACTGTAACCCCCAATTAGAAGTAATTTTGAATGAAAGATCGCTGGCCCGTCACACTTTTTCAGACGTGTGCGTGAATTGAAAACACATTTCAGTTGGAAAGTCGATGGGCTGTTATAAAACTTAGCTTCTACTTCCTGAAATCGCGAAAGCAGATCAGTACTTCAAAGCAGTCAAATTTCACAGGATTACGGTCTTGGAACGAGACCGATCAATAAAAAGAAAAAGCATTGAAAAAAATTCCTTCTCAATTTGATGAAAATAGCAAATTTCAAATATTCGTTTGGAATTTTTTTTTTTCAAATAACAAGTTGTTAGTTGACGATAGTTAAAATTTGCAAAGCTTGGGGAGGGCAAAAATCCAAAGCGACGAATTTCGGAAAAGCTAGAGTATTGCTATTTATTCGCTTATATGACTATTTCATTTATTCAATTATTCTTTACTTAATTGATATATTTGTTTATTTTAATATTACCATTTAACAACGCTGAAAAATACTTAGAGGCTTAAGTAGTGTTGCGCTGGCGTTATTTCAAATTTTTTCTGTCCAAACAGAAAGCAAAAAAAATACTTCCAGAAGTGCCTGAAATAGGCGTTAACATGTTCAATATTTCTTTTCATTCAGGCATGAGTTGTTCAATAATTTAAGAACAATTTCCACTTTATCATCATAACATATTGCATTCGACAAGAAAAGCCTATATCACCGAGAAATATTTCTTTTTTTTTCACTTCTCTTTCCAGTCCCAATTTGCGTTCAGTCGGGATGGGCTCGATTACCAGCCGCTGCACAGGAACGGGAGCCCGCGCTCCTCTGATCGGGTCTCTACTCGGGGAGGAACAAAAAAGATCGAACTCGAGAGGACGGCGGAAATCGAGCCCAGAATAGGACGACGAGATTAAGGAGTTATAGCAAAACCGAAGAAATGACTCACGGGATGAATAACTGAAAAAGGTATGGTTATGTAAGCGGGAATGAAAATTATTCAAAGATAATTAACCGAGTAGAATCTCGTGCTTGATGAACGACAGGAAAAGGGT